GACTCTTCTGTTATTTTCAAGAAGCTTGTTGAATTTTCTTGGTGTCGTAATAGTAAGCGACACTGCCATCTAACGTTGTTCTTGGGTTCTGCATAGAACTGCATTTTTATTCTTGGTTGGATGACCCATAAACAGAGCAAATACATGCATCTGTCTGTATCGGTCACCACAATTGTACCAAATAGCTGAAGCCCTTAAAGCCTCCACTGAACAGGTACAGGAATGCAGAGAATTAGGGATTGTACAAACATTGTTACGGGTCGCTTTTTATGCAGACATGCATAACAATATTTGGGAAATATTAATTGGTAAAGAAGTGAGGCCTTTGTTAATTATAAGGGTATCACGTTATCTGCATTTCTACTAGAAAACGTTCGCATGAGGACACTAACATGTAAATAAAAGCTCTATTGAAATCAAGATAGTAGAAAAATTGTAGTCATAACGTGTATTTGTAAGGTAGTGGTTGGATTTTAGCATGTGATCCAGGACTCTCCTGTCCATTTGTTCCTATTGTTAAAAAAGGAGAATAAGAAATCGGTCTGGAAACCTAGCATGTGTGTCGACTTTTGCGTCAAGTTTAAGTCATAATTCGGTGCGGAGTTAGGTCATGTTAGATGCTTTCTAAGAAGACCGGACGTAAACCGTTGGTGTGCGGGGTCCGCGCGTTTGAGGTAAACGTACACTTTCCATCGCTTCTTCATCAGATTCTATTACCCACATTGCTTTCAATTTTTAAAAAGTCAGAATTTCTGGATAACAAGTATAGTTCATGTTTCGCTAACGGAAATGCATTTGTTGGTTTGCAGCCGTTTCGGACAGCTGGGCCAGCTGTACTCTGTCGAAGCGCATACTGACTTTATCGATAGGCGAATTTAAAGTTGCGGCTGTACGTATTGTATTTGGGCTGATCGATTTTCCTCCGCTCGCTTTTGGGCTTTCCGTGTGGATTTAAGCAGAACTTGATGACAGTTGGTGTTTTGTTCCGTCCCCACGGCAGAGAATACTGGTAATCCTGCTCCTTCTTCCGGTGGTTTCGTCTTAGGGTCGTCCTTGTCTGCAAATCCTAACTTCGGTTTGACCGTGTCCTGTCCTTTACTTATGTAATGGCGTAGGTCTTTATAGGCTGTAGGCAGGTTCAGAGGCCTGAGGCCAGAGTTGGCGCCAGTCTTTCCGCTTTTAAGGCTCCTCGGCTTACCATGGCCGCTCCTTGAATATCAAAATTGTGGCCAGTTTCTCCGCTGTGTGTTGCAAGCTATGAGTTCGGGTCAACTTTGAGGGCCGCCGCTTTGTGTTCGTGTGGGCGAGCCATCGAATTGCTTTTGCTTCTTTAACGTAATTGCAGTCTCCGCCATAGCAGCGCATTTTGTAGGTTTCAGTAGGGGGCAGTCTGTCTTTAGATTGCATAATTAGGCGGCGTAATGTCGCTTGAGGTCGATGGACTATGTCTACTCTAGCGGGCTGTAAAAGCCGACAGCCTGCATCGGATACTCCTTTTATGTAGGGCCTTGCCCTCCAGACTTTAGGTTTCTGTTTTGCCATCTTTTCATTAGGCGCTTCCGTTGGCTGATAAAATATTTTGGGTGTCCATTAGCTCGAAATAGGTCACGTATGTATCGTTGTTTCACACTTTTGTTAGCTTATGTGCTGCAAAGTGTTTCAATTCTTTTGAAAAAAGGTACGAACCCAGCTATTTTCATGAGGCAGAGGATGATGGCTGTTGAAGTGGAGTATTTGTTTTTTGCTGGTGGCTTTCTTGAAGAGTAGCGTTTTTGCATTATTCCACTTGAACAACAGCGCACCAGGACATCAAGGAAGAGAAGTTGGTTATTTTTTTTCCGCTTCCATCGTGAATTTGGGATTTATGCAAACCGAGTTTAATAACTCTTTAATGTACGCAGGCCTGATAGGTGGGAAACCATTTTGGTGCCTTAAATTTGTTCAAACATTTGC